CTCTAACTTCAGAAGACAAACCACCTGTTTTGATAAAAACAACATTTTGTGAACTTATCTTATTTCACATACTAAAGTGGCAAGTAGAACAAAAAAACAGCATTTTTAAATATAAATTGCATTCTATTATGAAATCTATTTTCTACCCACTTTCTATGCCCAAATCAATCTCAGCAAGAGATTTGCTGTAGACCTCAGTTCCACGTTCGATTGCCATGAGCAGTTTGCTCATCTTTGCAAGCTGAAGTGTGTTCTCGGTTAGGTGATAGTATTCACGATGAACACGAATATCATGTCCCATAAATTTGGCAAGTTGATCCAACTCATTTTCTTTCAGGTTCATTATCTGACTAAGTGTAGCCACATGTTTCCTCAGGTGGGTTGACGTGAGTGTTTCAGGCTTCCTTGCCCCACTTGCAGCTGCATAGTTCCTCAAACAGTCTGAACCTCGTATACATGCCCACATTTTTTTCTGCTACTTGGCAGATAGGTTATCCCTAACATGCTGTAGAACCTGGTACAGTTTCTAAGTTCTTTTGTTCATTTAGGCTGTCTGTGTATTCTGCTTCTTCATGTGATCCCAGACTGACTGTAATACTGAGATCAGCACTCTGTGGGGTCCACACCATCTGTTACAAGACTCCTTGTTCTTCTTGTTTCCAAAGACAGTTCTTTGTGACTTTGGCCGAGTGTTTTGGCTTGTTGTCATGCTGTGGAAACAATTTGGGACCAGTCAGACACCTCCCTGATGGTATTGTGTGATAGCTTAGAATCTAAACATCCAAAGTACCTAAAGGTTTTGCACAGTGTTATAATTTGGCCACCATTTTTAGCCTATATTTGTTTGTTTTAACATTAAGTACACTGAATTCATTTTTAACCATTCATTTTGCCATTAAATAAAAAGCCTATTCTAAAATAAGGATGTGAATTACATTGTGCATTTTGTGGGGTGGGGAGTCTCCTTTCAACAGGGGACTGATGTGTTGAGGACATGCAATCCACCAGGCACCAAATCTACCACAATCCACATTCAACATCATCACATAAAATAACAGGAAAACAGAGCATGAGCCAGTTGATACAGGCATTACTGATGGTGAGTAAAGTCAGACCCACCTCACGATGCACTGCTGTCACTTGCTGTTCAGTTACAATTTCCTCAAATGATCAAGTTTCACAATATGTCTATTTTTACATACAAGGAGGTTATGTTTTTTTTTACTGGTTAGTGTTTGTTGATTGTTCACACCATAACTCAAATAGTAATGAATGGATTTTGATGGTGATCTGGATCATCATCCTGATCTACATTTTTTTTTTTTTTTTTTATAAATGGCATTCTGTGAAAGCTGAACTGTCTTGGCAGAGGTTTTCATGCTCCATGTTGTTTAGTTGTATTTTATGATGGTTTGAGCCTGACAAAACACTCCCTTAAAACTAAGAGTATGGCAACAGAAGGATAAACAACAGCTCTGTTGTTAGAAAGAAAGACCACACAGGATGACACAAGATGACACAGGAAGAACACACACACACACACACACTAACAGAACCATCCGACCATCCAGGGAAGGCCAAATGTGTATGTTTATGCACTTCCTGACAGTGAGACCTTCATGGGGAGAGCTTGTAACTTAGTTTGCTCACAGCCTTATCTCTCCAACAAGGCTTAATAGGGTAATGGAAACCTCCTAGTGCATACTGGGAATGAGCGGAACTTAGAAGCAGTGTTATTAAGGAGGTGAAACAGTGATGGATGACAGGCCTACACACTAGGGTTTAAGCTTCATTTTAGTTTTTGAAGAATACATGGAAAGAGAGTAGACAAAATTAAGATACAGATTAAAATTGCTTCTTTATTATTGCTAGATGATTGTTATAATGATGACGAAGGTCTGATAAGCATGACGCTGGAAAGGCCCTTTGGGTCATATTCTAAGCTGGAGACAAACAACATATAATATTGTTTAGGTTTAATGGCTTGTTGCTTTTTACAAATCATTTAAATGAATGCACACATGAAGAGTTCCCATCTGAAAAATATAACTCGTACAGTTATTTTTCATATCAACATATAATTAGTCACCACTTGCAGAGTGGGCAGACCTTAATATCAAGGATGACTATACATTGCTGCCCCTTTTTTTAGTTCAATTATTCAACTCTCTCTTTATAAAAAATTCTCTCCAAAATGCTGGGTTCCACGAGAGTAGCCTCAACGAACACGCTGCCTTGGATTTTTATTTCACCTCATTAAACATGCAAGCTAATTTAAACCCAATTTCACAGCCATTTGAATTATATGGATTTGACTTCATCCACTGAGAGACCACACTGGCTTCCCCTCAAGGCGGGGCTGCCTGAGAAAGAAGCTTGTGCTGGGGAAAAACAAGAGGATTGTGGGGTGGGGTGGGGGTGGTGTGAATGAGGCAGTAATGAATAAGAGACTTAATATGACTAAGCAAAACTAAATAAATGCAAATCTCCAGGATGATTTGTATATGAGGT